TTAGTTAAAACATCCTTAAAAGCATTTAAAAGTTCTTGCCTAACTCAGCCTCATTAAAACACAAATAGCCTTTAACACTTTTTCAACTTTTACCAAGATTCCTGCCCCAAACGTTCCACACAAAAATCAGCTATCTAATTTAAGAGACTAATTCAATAATAAGCTCTTCAAGGGCAGAATCCATCTCAATTATCCTCTAGATATACTGGAAAGCATAGCGAATTAGATGTTAAAAATCTTGTATTCAAGTCTGTACTCCATCAATTACTGTCTATGTGTCCCTGGGCAAGTCCCTTTACCTCTGAGATCAGTTTCCTCATCTGTTACATAAAGATAGTAATTACATTTGCCACACTGGTCTGATAGGCCTGTTTGATGTATCAAATAACATAAAAAATGTAAAAGAGCTTTGCAAGCTATGAAGTCTTGCAGAAATGTTACCTTTATTGTATGTATCTTCAGTGACCAGAACATAGCTAGCCTAACAAATGTTCCTTACTAACAACTGCAGTTGTAATGAATTAGTTTCCTGTTGGTCTAAGAGAACTTCACTGTTCTTGCATCAACATTCAGCTTATTATTAACAACTGAGTTGGGCAATGAGAACAAGATGAATCACTTTCTTATGCAATCAGAGCTTTTCTAAAGAACATATGTCCTACATAACAAGGGCAACCCTTCTTTAGCCCCAGAAGATGGCTACAGAGGACAGCACCAGTTAGGTCCAGCAGATTGCTGTCAAGTATGAATGCATAATATCAGCTTTCAGAGCATCCTAGAGAAACCACAAATCTGTGTTTTTACACAGAACTCCCAATTCACAAATGTAGGCAATTAACCTAATTAAAAAACATGTTTCCATCTCACAGTCATTGAATTTGCTGTTCATACTCTGCCTGGAACACTCTTCCCCCAGATATCTGCATGGCTTGCTCCCTCACTTTGTTCTGGTCTCTGCACAAATGTCACTGTCCTCAGGGAGTCCATCCCTACTTAAAGAGCCATGTACACAAGTATACCCCAAGCTTTCTCCACACCCTTACCCTGCTTTATTTTTCCCTGCAATATGTATCACTACCTGTTATTAGAAGCACTGGAATTAGATTTTTTTTTTATCTATTTATTGTCTGTTCCCTTATTATAATGAAAAGAAGTTTCTTTTATTCACAACTGTATTCCCTAAGCTAAAGTGATGCTTGAGAGATGCTAAGTACTCAATAAGTATTTGTTGAATAAAGATTATCAATTATTGATTGCCACAAAAGAAATGATGAACTTGGAAATGTAAATAGTAATATATTTGAAAATAGGTACACTGGAAAGTACTTTTGCGCAGATCAGCTTAACTCCTGTTCTCACTTTTCAACAAGTTTATCAATTTTAGAACATTTATCAAGCTGCCACTAAAAGGATACGAGAAGCGATCATTCCATGTTGCTCTTTCGACGTATTCCAACATGACAACAGCTTTGATTGTAGTTAACAGTTTGTTCCATGTTTCATCAAAATCTACTACTCGTGGTTTCAATGACATTGTGCAAGTTTAGTGTTGAAATCTGTTAATTAAAAACAATAATAATGTTAGCATGAATTCCACAATATGTTATTTATTTCTAAAGCAACACATAATCAAATAGCATGATATATGAAGTGAGCACAGAACCTGGCAAACAGTAAGAACACAATAAACATTGGCTACCATCTTTTCATGACTATCCAGACAAGGAATTTTGTAGAATCTTTGCATTCATTATGAACTCTAGAAAATGGGAAGCTTTTCTACAAATTATTTAAGACCAGGGGTATTGTTTCAAAGATTTATAAGCCTCATTCAATATGCTAAGGCAAAGAAGCTGGGACCCAGTTAATTAAAAAGCCAACTCTCATCATGGGAAATATGCAGGAGACACTCAATAAAAAGGTTTTGGCCCCAAATTCTTGTGGTTTACACTCCTTAAACT